GAACACAAAAGAGACCTTAAAAATAGATCCAACCAATGAAATGAACAGGGAAATCCACAGAGACAGAAAGTGAGATCAGTGGTTGCTGGAGGCTGGGATAGGACCTGAGGAAGACTGCTGATGGGCATGGGGTTTCTTCACTGAGAATGTTCTGGAATTAGATGGTAGTGATCAATGCACAATTTTGTGAATACAGCAGTCCCTCCCTTATCTGAGGCAGAGATATTCCAAAAGCCCCTAGTAGATGCCTGAAACTGTGGGTGGTACTGAACCCTATATGTACTATGTTTTTTCCTATACACACACACCTACACATTGTGTAGGTGATATGATAAAGTGTAATTTATAAATTAGGCACAGTAAGAGATTAAGAACAGTAACGATAAATAGAACAATTATAACAATATCCTATAATAAAAGTTACATGGAATGTCTGTCCTCTTTCAGAATATCTTACTGCACTGTACTCGACCTTCTTCTTGTGATCTGCCTCTCTGAGAACCGAGACAGCTACCAAGTGACTAATGGGGGTGGGAGGAATACTGTGTACAGCGTGGACACGCTGGACAAGGGGCAAGGAGATGATTCACGTGTTGGGCAGGACAGAGCAGGACAGCGTGGGATTTTTATCACGCTACTCTGAACAGCACGTGCTATAAAACTTATGAACTGTTTATTTCTGGAATTTTCCATTTAATATTTTTAGACCATGGGCAACTGAAACCATGGAAAACAAAGCCTCAGATAAGGAAGGACTGCACCAGGCATTTGAAAAAATTTTTTTTAGAGAAGGGGCCTCACTTTGTTGCCCAAGCTGGACCCATGCACTTTAACGACTGGATTGTACACTTTAAGAGTGTGAACTTTATGGTATGTGAATTATATCTTTAAAAAGTTGTTACTTAAAAAGCCCATGTAAGGGCCACGTGTGGTGGCTCACACCTGTAATCCCAGCACTCTCGGAGGCCAAGGCAGGAAGATCGCTTGAGGATAGAAGTTTGAGACCAGCCTGATCAAAAGCGATGCCATCTTTACAAAAAATAGAAAAATTAGCCAGGTGTGGTGGTACACGCCTGTAGTCCTAGCTACTTGGGAGGCGGAGGCAGAAGAGTTTGAGGTTGCAGTGAGCTATGATGATGCCACTGCACTCCAGCCTGGGTGACAAAAAGAGACCCTGTCTCGAAAACAAACAAACAAAACAACCCATGCAGATTCAGAAACTTGACATATAAAAAGATGGCACCAAAGACAGCAAGGGAGAAATGAAAAGACTGTTTCGTTAATGTGTTGGGTAAATTATCACCATATAGAGTAAGAACAACATGAGTTTCTTCCCTCACTTGCAGTGTGAACTACAGATGAATCTAAGACCACAATGTGAAAAGTAAAACTAACAGAAATGATTAAAGCTAACAGAAGTGATTCTTATAAGAATGTATTTATGACTCAGGAATGAGAAAAGAATAAATAAGACCCAAAATATAAATCACAAGGTTCCAAATTTTGGTTTTCAATAAACAAAAATCAAGGATCCCTGTTCAGCAAAGGTCCCCGTGGATGCATTTTCCAAGACATATGTGTAAACAATGTGAATCAACCAAAACTTCAGAAACCCTGCAGAAAGTGCGCAAAGAATATAATCACACAATTCTTAAAGGGCGAAACCCAGACAGCTACAGATATACCAGGAGGGATGAAGCTTGCCGGTTACCCAGGATAACAAACAGCGAGAGTAGAGGTGGTGGCCAGCAGCCAGTCTGTGGCCAGGGCTGCACCACAGGTCAGCAGGATGGACTTGGGGACCTGCACATGCCGAGGCCAGAGGCCCCGGAGCCCAGCTGTGGGCTGGACACTAGGTGTTGGGTATTTGCCACAAGCATGAAGAGTTTACAGCACAGGCCCCTGGAGGCGGGTGGTGCATGTGAGCAGGCGTGAGGAGGGAAGGGGGTGACTGGTGAGGACAACGTGCTGCAGCCTAAGGGCCCAGTGAAAACTGCACCTGGGATCCAGCAAGCAAAGCATGGGAGAGAGCGGGGCGAGGGGGGGCGGGAAGCAGTGAGGCCGGCACCCCGGGAAGCGTGAGGGGGTGGTGAGCAAAGGATGTTGAGGGCAGCAAGACGCCTGCCAAGCCTTGACCCCAGAGTGAGAGCACAGGTGCAGGGGGGCTCTCATCCATCTACAAATAGCACCAACGCCGAGTGCCAGGGCAGCTCAGCCCCTCCCTCAGACACAGACAACCTGTCGGCAATACCAGCTAGGCGGCCGTTGGGGGTCCTTTACCTTGTGGGGCCGAAGGGTCGGGGTCACCTGCCTGGGACTTCTCGAGCTCGTCTGAGATCTCTCCGTGGATAGAAGGCACAGGGACAGAGAGGCTCCTCTTTAGCAGAGGCCCAGAGGCTGTTGAACGGCCACCCTCACGATCTGCTGGGGAGACAGGTGTGACAACCTTAGTATCCACACAGCCCAGTGTCCAGCTCAGCTCACAGAGCAGGGTCCCCACAGTGGCACACAATCTGCACGTCCTGAGGCCCAGGCACAGCTCTCTACAGCGCCCTGTGTACCTGCACACAGCACCCCTCCTCATCTGCACCTGGCTGGCCCCACAGGTGAGCAAGTGCCAGCCTCAGACTTGCCCTGCTCCGCCCCCCTCCCCACCCTTCTCCAAAGTATCCTGGACTGACCACCCCGGCTGCCAGCCTGTGTGCCTTGACAGTAAACTCCTGCTCAGGTGGAAGCTGCCAATTGTCCCGTTCTCAGTGGCATCCTTTAGTCGAGGTGGTCATCTGAGCACACCTGGGAGGAACCACGCAAGGCTTCGGCACTCCACCTGTCCCTCAGGTGGAGTGGACCCACAAGAACCTTCCAGGAAGGACCCTGGCCTCGCCCACCACACAGGATGGAGGAGGCTGCCTCCTACACAGATGCTGTCTTCTGCGCCTACAGAGCCGTGCTAACCTTCCCCGCCCTGATCTCTGCCAAGACCCACGCCAGGATAGCTGCCCTGCTCCATCGCTTAATAATGACGAAAAGTTCAGGTCAGAGGATGCTATTCAGGCAGAAATACTTAACTGACACATATTCTAAAACGGATTTCTGTGAGAAACCAGATCAGCCGGAGCTGGGTTTCAAGGGCACCATGGTGCAAAGCCTCGTCCTAGGATGGCCAGCTGGGTGGCGGGGCCAGGCACTCGCCCTTGCAGGTCTCCAGGACACACTCCAGCGACAGCAGGTCACTCTAGTTTGTGTTCCGTGCCACTTTCGCCCCACTTTAACAAACACTGCTCTATTTAATTTCACATACTTTTTGTCAGCCACTTGAAATCTTTGGGAACATGATAGGCTATAAGAAAGCAAAGGGCATAAGCCCCACATGATAAGGTGGCTGCTAAATTTGTACCACAGATCGTCCTGGAGGTGACTCAATCAGTATGGGCCGCACTGGACGGCTTCTTTCCCAAATCCAAGCCCCCGTGAGAGCTCACAGCAGCGCGGTAGGAGCACAAAGGTGAAAAACTATTCCCTTATATGGGCATTTCACCTGGGCCGGTGCGGGGGGGAACCTATGGCCTTAAGGCCACCTGTGGCCTTCTTGGTCTCTAAGTGCCACGTCCCTCACAGAGAATTCTGGGGAGAATAGGCTGAGCGCAGGGGCACACGCCTATAATCCCTGAACTTTGGGAGGCTGAGGCAGGAGGATCACTGAACCCAGCAGTTCGAGGCTGCAGTGAGCTGTGATGACACCACTGCACTCCAGCCCGAGTGAGACTCTGTCTCAAAAAAAAAACAAAATATGGGGAGAACTAAAGAACGGAGGGCAAGGTGACCTGGTCACATGTGAGGTGGCCTGGGGTGCGTGTGAGGTGGCCTGGGGTGCGTGTGAGGTGACCTGGTCACGTGTGAGGTGGCCTGGGGTGCATGTGAGGTGGCCTGGGGTGCGTGTGAGGTGACCTGGTCACGTGTGAGGTGGCCTGGGGTGCATGTGAGGTGACCTGGGTACGTGCGAGGTGGCCTGGGGTGCGTGTGAGGTGACCTGGGTATGTGTTGAGGTGACCTGGGTGCGTGTGAGGTGGCCTGGGGGTGCGTGTTGAGGTGGCCTGGGTGCGTGTGAGGTGGCCTGGGTATGTGTGAGGTGGCCTGGGTGCATGTGTGCGTGTGAGGTGGCCTGGGTGCGTGTGAGGCGGCCTGGGTGCGTGTTGAGGTGGCCTGGGTGCGTGTGAGGTGGCCTGGCTGCGTGTGAGGTGAAGGTGGCCTGGCTGCGTGTGAGGTGGCCTGGGTGCGTGTGAGGTGACCTGGGTGCGTGTGAGGTGACCTGGGTGCGTGTGAGGTGGCCTGGGTGCGTGTTGAGGTGGCCTGGGTGCGTGTGAGGTGGCCTGGGTACGTGTGAGGTGGCCTGGGGTGCGTGTGAGGTGGCCTGGGGTGCGTGTGAGGTGGCCTGGCTGCGTGTGAGGTGACCTGGTCACGTGTGAGGTTACCTGCGTGTGAGGTGACCTGGGTGCGTGTGAGGTGGCCTGGGTACGTGTGAGGTGACTTGGGTATGTGTTAGGTGGCCTGGGTGCGTGTCAGGTGACCTGGGTATGTGTGAGGTGACCTGGGTGCGTGTGAGGTGGCCTGGGTGCGTGTCAGGTGGCCTGGGTGTGTGTGAGCTGCCTGGGCACAGGTGAAGTGGCCGGGGAAGTGGGAGGGAGAAGGCCCCGGGCTCTGGGCTGGAGGTGGCCCTCTTTGGGTCAGGACAGTACCTGAGTCGCAGGACTTCCGGGGCCGCAGTGGCCTCTCGAACCGCTCTTCTGGGCCACTGAACATCTGCCTTTTGGCCTTTCCAGCAGCCACGCTGGCTACAGACACGAGAGGGATTGCCTGGCTCTCCTGGGACATGAGAGAGAACATCAGTGCTGCTCTAGCAACATCCCTGCGCTCCAGTGAGGACTGCTCACCATTGACAAGTGTGCAACTCTCAAGGAAAACGGTAAGCTCCGTTTCAGGGAATGAGAAGAGGCCAATAATCAACTAGGAAATCCAATCATGCAAAAAAAGGACTGATCCGTAGCTAGGCATGGTGGCGCCTGTAGTCCCAGCTACTTGGGAGGCTGAGGCAGGAGGATCACTTGAGCCCAGGAGTTTGAGGTTGCTGTGAGCTAGGCTGACACCACGACACTCTAGCGGGGGCAAAAGAGTGAGACTGTCTCAAAAAGAAAAAAGAAAAAAAAAGAAACAAAAAAGGACTGATTTGTTTAAGGCAACAAAGGCTTAGCCTACTTTTATCTTAGGCTCTAAGACATTTTATCAAATCAAAATATGGCCCAAATTGTCGGAAACCGTAATACACTTCGTTAAGATGAAAAAAAATGTAGAAAACAAAAAGATATTCCCTAAAATGCCAGTAAGATGACAAACCCTAAAATACCATCAAAAGTAAGGAGAACGTGCAAATGAGCTGGAGTGCTAGCCAGTGACACGGGCGGCACACCTCCTGAAGCCTGCTGTGCTGGAGATCGAGGTGGTAGGTTCTTTCTCAGGAACTCAATTTAACTATTATTTATTGACGTATCACTGCCTTTGAAAAGCTTCTACTGGCACAATTCATTGTTAAAATTTTGAATCCCAATGAAAAAACTAACATGCATCAGGCATTTAGTAACCACCAGGGCTTTATCTGTCCGCCCCACAGTACCTTGCTGGGTGCCCTCGACACACTGGGGCAGCAACTCGGGCTGGGAGGGCAGAGCAGGGCATGAAACCATTACCGCACTTAGTTCTCATAAGAACTCTGCGAGGTGGGACCAGTCTTGTCCCGTTCCACGGGCTTGGGTGTCTACCCAGGGTCACGCCGCTGGGAGGGGGAGAGCCAGGCTTCAAGGCCCCGCACCTTTGACAAGGCTCTGCTCCCTCCAGACAGGTCACAGTGTGGGATCAGCTCGACCCCACCCAGTCTGCACAGAAAGCAGGAGTCAGGGGCGGGACACAGAGCTGAGTGCTGGCAGGAGGGACCCCAGGGACAGGGATGGAAAGAAGGTGGCAGCCTCCACTGGACAAGGCAGTCAGCTCAGCTTACAGCCCCGTGGGGAGCTGGAAAGGGAAAATGCGTGTGTGTTTGGGCAGTCAGTGTTCCATGGCCCCGAGGTGACAAAGGAGGCTCGTCACAGGCTCAAATACCAGATTCTTCTGGAACGTCCGCCGCCGGGGCACACTAAGGCTGCTCACAATCAGGCCATCTCCAGAAGGGATGAACTCCAGCACCGGAGAAGGAATTCCACATTTCCCAAATCTTAACCCATTAGAGAATTTTTTAACACAAGCCCCCCCCGAGAATCAAGCCCCCAACTCATCAACTGGCATTTGCTTCAAGGTAGAAAAGTAAACGCAGCCCATTAGTCACCTCCCGAAGTCCAAAGTCCTGAAGACCAGCAAATAGAATGGCCACAGCTGTGGTTGGTACTGTCCCCACCAGGCACTGGTGCCCTGCAGTGACAGCTGACGGGCCATCCTGACACCACGTGGAGTGGACACAGGGCTCTGTGAGGCAGTGTTTCCACTTACAGGGTTGAAGAGCTCCGTGGTCAGGCCCAGGTAGTCGTGCAGAGCCAGAAAGGTCACTCTCTGCAGCCGCACCATGATGATCTGCAACAGAGACGCGCGCGCGCCGTGAGCCCCAGCCACAGGCCCAGGGCGAGGGCCGTGGCAGCCCAGCAGGGAACCACGCCCGCCAGACCCAGGACAAACCAAACCCTTTCCAGGGACCTGTCAGAGGAGAAAACGCCCCTTGCTCCTGGTAACTCGCCATGGTAACGTCAGATGTTAACATGGAGTGGGGGAGTGGGGGAGTGGGGGAGTGGGAAACACGTGGAAACTGCATTATTTATGCAAGTTTTCTGTAATCTAAGATTACTCTAAAATAAGTTTAATAAAAATTTAAAATTTTCTTTGTGGGAGAGAATGAGAGATCTGAAGACCTCTTTGAAATTATGAATATTAATTTTATTGTAAAATATCTATTACAAAAGTTTTAAAAACAGCCTCAGTTCTTCCCATACCCACTCAGAATCCCACATCAATTACACTATTCTCCTGAGTCCATTTTCATGGCTGTAAAACCCAGGACTGAGACGGTAAACTGAAAACAGACCTACTCAAACCCCAAGCCAGTTGCTGGGTCCCCTGCCTCAGAGGACCCAGAGCAGCTAGAAAAGCTGACTGAGGAATGACCCACCTGCACCACCCTCACCAGGGTTTCGGGATATTTCTCAAAAACTCCTTGAAAAGCTGCAGCTGGAAGCCGGAGGATGGTGGATGGGACAGCCGCGTGGGCGGAGACGGTTTTGTACGGTGCAGCGTGACCCTGTAACAACAGCTCCGTCAGTCCCTGCTCTGAGGGCCCAGCAGAGCCCCCCGGAATCGCTGAGACTCGGGAAGCCCACCCAGAAGGCCCCACCTGGCTTCCCATTCGAGTGGCTCTGGTTTCCCAGGCTGTGCTGTGGAACAGGCTGCTCTGGGTGCAACGTGCACACGCATCCTGGTTGTCCAAGAGATCCACGGCGAAGGTTGGCCCACGACAGATCAGGGTGGGGCAGGCCCAGAGGCAGCCAGCACCTCCAGACCTGCACACTCACGAGGTGATGCTTCTACCTGCTCCCACCTGTCACTGAGAATTATGGACCCAGCTCTCCAATGTCCTGCCCTGGTCTCAACTGTCACGGCTGTCGGTACCCCCTTGTCAAAAGGGTGTATAAGATACCAACCCGTGCAGCCTTCCTAGAAAGGCCACTGAGTCAGGAATCTCCTGTCAAATGGCCACCAGCACAGTGATGTCACTGCATGTGACAGTGACCAAGCACTAACCAGAGCCTCCAACCAGGAGCACGCACGGGACCCCAGCTGAGGAGCCATGTGACTCGTCAGGTGGACTTTGCCAACAAGGCTCCACATGGCTAATCGAAGAGCCTAACAGAAATCCCTACTGAGTGGCTTTTGGTTTCTACCTTACGGAAATTGGTTGGCATTGGAAAGAAGAGACTATTTCTTAATCGTGGTATTCTTCACGTGCAGTAAGATTTGCCCTCTTTGGTGCACAGCTTTTTGGTGTGTTCACCACCAGCACAGAAACAGAACAGCCCCATACTGAGATGTCCCTCTGTGGCCTTTTCTCGTCTTCTGTTCCTCCCTCTGCTGGCTCCTGGCAACACTCACCTGCCTTCTCTGTCCCTATGGTCTTGGCTTTGTCAAATGTCACTTAAATAGAACCACATGGTATATAGGCTTCTCTCACCGAGATGACACCTGAGAGTCATCCATGTTGGTGCATCTACCACTGGTCTGTGCGTCTGTCTCCTAAGTACCAGCCTGTCTCATGCATACATCACAGTCTCTTCATTCACTCGCCAGCTTAAGGACATTTGGGTTGTTCCAGTTTGGGGCACTTATAAATAAAGCTACTACAAATATGCATATACAGGTTTTTGTGTGAACACAGCTGTCATCTCTCTTGCTAAATAACTAGGGATGGGATCTTAGGTCATACGGTATATGTATCCTTACCTTAATAAGAAACTAGCAAATTGTTTTCCACAATGGCGCTATCACTTTACACAGCCACCAGCCATGAATGAGTTCCAGCTGATACAGGTACCCATCAGCCCTTGGTACTATCAGTGGTGTATAATAAAGAATTTGGCTGGTCTGTGTCCCTGATTCCTGGGAGAAAGCCTCTAATCCCTTACAAGTTCCTGAGTGATGGAAGTGTCCACCCTTCCTCGGACCACACTTGACTTCATGCTAGCAGTTGACTCCTGGCAGCAAGGCCCAAGACAGTTTGAGAATAGGGCTGGCCACACTGGAGGACCACCATGTGACTAAAACCAGGGGTATCGCCCAACCTCCCATCTCTGGGGAGGGAGGAAGGCTAGAGACTGAGCTCAATCACTGGCCACAGTTCTGGTGGTTGGCCCGCATTGTCGATACACACCAATGTGCCCGGAGCGGGTGCATCTCAAGGACATAGAAGCCTCACGTTTGGACCCTCCCAGACCTGACTCCACGGGCCCAGTGCTGATTCTTATCCTCTGGAGTACAACTTTAAGCGTGGTTGTTTCCTGAGTTCTGAATCGTTTTAGAAAATGATTGAATCTGAGGGGGTCATGGGAATCCCCTAACTTGTAGCCAGTTGGTCAAAAGTGCAGGCAGCCCGGGAACCCCCAAGTTCCCAGTTTTGGTTGCTATTATACATGGACTGGGATTTTTTGGTTTGTGGTTTTTTTCTTTTTTTTTTTTTTGGGACAAGGTCTTGCTCTTGCTCAGGCTGGTCTCGAACTCCTGGCCTCAAGCAATCCTCTTGCCTCAGCCTCCCAAAGTGCAGGGATTACAGGTGTGAGCCACTGTGCCTGGCCTAAATGCTATTTTTCACATCTTAATTTCCAATTGTTCATTGCTAATATATAGTAACATATTTGTGTTTTGTATATTGATGACCTCATTCATATTTAATAAGTTCTCGTACCTTATAGATTCCACAGAATTTTCTACTGTTTTGTGAATAGAGACTTGTTTCATTTTTTCCTTTCCAATCTGTATGCTTTTTCTTTTGTTTCCTCTCCCCACTGCCCCGGTGAGGACCTCCACTATGATGCTCAACAGCGTGGTGAGAACGGACATTCAGTTTTCACCAGTAAGTATGAACAGATGTCCTTTATTTGGTTTAGGAAGTTCTCTTTTCCTAGTTGCTGAGAGTTTTTCTCACAAAAATGTTGATTTTTGTCAAATGTTTTTTCTGCATTTATTGAGATAATCATATGGTTTTTTTTCTTTAGTCTGTTGATACAGTAAATTACAGTAAGTGATTTTCAACTGTTGGAACAGCCTTACACTCCTGGAATAAACCGCACTTGACCATGATGTATTATCCTTTTCTATATATTGCTGGATGCAAACCTCTAATATTTTATTGAGGATATTTATGTCTGTGTTCATGAGAGATATTGATATGCAATTTTTCTTTTCTTTCTTTCTTCCTTCTTTTTTTTAAGAGAGAGGGTCTTGCTCTGTCGCCCAGGCTGGAGTGCAGTGGCGCCATCATAGCTCGTGCAGCCTCGAACTCCTGGGCTCAAGCAATCCTCCTGCCTCAGCCATTCAAGTAGCTGGGACTACAAGTGTGAGCCACCACGCCTGGCGAATTGTTTTTAAAAAAGTTTTTGTAGAGAAGGGGTCTCACTATGTCGCCCAGGCTAATCTCAAACTCCTGGCCTCAAGAGATCCTCCCACTTCAGCCTTCTGAAGTGCCAGGATTACAGGCCTGAGCCAACGCACCTGGCTTGCAATTTTCTTTTCTTGTAGTCTTTGTCTGGTTAGGCATCAGGGTAACACCGGCCTCAGAAACTAAACTGGGAAGTATTTCTTCCTCTTTACTTTTCTGCAAGAATCTGAGTAAAATTAGCATTATTTCTTCCTTAAATGTTGGGTAGGATTCCCCAGTGAAGTCATTTAGACCTGGAGTTTACCTGTGGGAAGGATTTTAGCTACAAATTTGATTCTTTAGCACTGTGGTCCCAACCCCTGGTACCAGTCTGCAGCCTGTTAGAGAGCAGGCAATGGAGCTCCACCACCCTCCCCACCCTGTGGAGAAATCATCTTCTATGAAACTTAGGAAGGGGGGTGCACAGCAGGAGGTGAGTGGCAGGGGTGAGTGGCAGAGGGCGCTTCATCTGTATTTGCAGCTGCTCAAATCACCACCTGAGCTCCACCTCCTCTCCCCAGGGAAAAATTGTCTTCCATGAAACTGGTCCCTGGTGCCAAAAGGTTGGGGATCGCTGCTCTGATAGATACAGGGCTATTCGTATAATCTACATCTTCTAGAAGGGGCCTTGGTAGTTTGTATGTTTCAAGCAATTTTTCAATTTCATCTAAATTGTTGATTTTATGGGTATAAAGTTATCCATGATATTCCCTTATGAGTCCTTTTATGCCTGTGAGGTCTGCAGAAACGTCCCCTCTTTCATGTCTGATATTCGTCGTTTGTGTCTTCTCTCTTTTCTTCTTCACTGGTCTGCCTAGAGGTTTTTGTATTTTACTGATGTTTGCTAAGAACCAGCTTTTGGTTTCATTGGTTTTCTCTATTTTTTCTATTTTTAATCTCATTGATTGCGGCTCTTTGTTTCTTCCTTCTGCTTGCTTTGGGTTTTTCTCTTCCTAGTTTCTTAAGACAGAAGCTTAGATCACTAATCTGAGATCTATTTTTTTTCCTAATACAAGTATTTTAAGGTATAAATTTTTGTATGTTGTATTTTCATTTTCATTCAGTTCAAAATATTTTCTGATTTCTCTGTGACAGACAAACCAGTGTAGACGCGTCTCATAAACATAATGTGGACCGAGAGGGACCAGGTACAAAGAGCACACACGGAATAATGCCACTTAAACGAAGTTCGAGTACGAGTGACACTGACACATGATGGCAGAGCAGTGGCCAGCCAACTGTTTGCGTCAAAGGCCACAGAGTAAATATCTTAGCTTTATGTGCCACGTTGTCTCCGCTGCAGCTACTCAGTGTGGCCGTAGTGTGAATGAGCTGTCGGCGGTGTGTCAGTGAACGGGAAATGGGAGGGTTTGGCCCTGAGGCTGCACTGGCCACCTCTGTGACAGACGTCACGTTAGCGGGTACCTGTCAGAGGGTTAGGTTGGGTATTCACTCGGGGAGACAGAAGGTAATCCAGGTTGCTGAAAATGTTCTATACTTTGATTTGGGTGGTAGTTATATGGGTTAATTATAAAAAGGAAACTCCTGTGAGCCACTCGAGAGCTGGGTGTAAGCCCCATGTGTGTGGCTGGGGATTGTCACCTGGGGACCCCCTGCAGGAGGACTAGGCAGGAAGCTGGCTCCTTTTTTTGGGAGCCCACAGGTCAGTGTCTGCAGGTCTTTAGGGCAGCTTCCCAGAAAGGAGTCTGGCAGTATCCTCTGTGGTGGCGTTGGCTTAGCATGGGGGCAGGTGTCTGGGCTGTTCCCATCCAGAGTAGACACTGTTCTTTGGCCTGTAGCTGTGCCTGTTGTCCCGATGCTCAGACCCACTTCACCTTCCCCAGAGAGAACACCTGCGGTCTGTGGGCCTAGAGGAAGGGCCATCTGCCGGCCCGCTGGGGCCGAGGAGGGGACTTGGGGCTGGCCTGCTCCTCAAGCAGCCCCTCCTGCCTCTGGCCTCCTGAGGTACTGACCTGTGCCTCCCACGGGCTCTGCAGCATGGACCATTTTCCCTGTCTAGGTTCTACAGCCCTAAAGCACAGTTTCAGCTTTCATTAGAGGACTCCATGGACTACATCAGCTTCTAAAATGTTGTTGACATTCCTTATCTACTCTTACTTTTGCCTGACATAAGCGTGTGTATTCCATGAGGGAACAAAGATAAACACGTAATCTTCAACCTACCATTTCTAATAGGAGGTTGACTTTATTATTTTAATTTTTACGAAGTTGTTACAAAATACTTCAAATATACAAAGAAGCATGATATTGCTGGGTGTGGTGACACATGCCTGTAGTCCCAGCTACTCGGGATGCTGAGGTGAGAGGATCGCTTGAGGCCAGAAGTTTGTGTCCAGCCTGGGCAACATAAGCGAGACGTCGTGTACAATAGTTTTTTAAAAGCATGATAGTGTAAACAGACATGCTAACTATGACCCGGGTTGTGTCGCCATAACACGAGTTAGCTATCAACTATCAGTGTCGTTCAAGTTACCCACGTGTGCGCTCTGATCTCACCCTCTTCTCCCCTCAGAGCCAACTTTCTGAATTTTCTCTGGTATTCACAGAATATGTGGCATAATTTTGCTTGATTCTAAATCTCACAAACGGCACCCTACCTGCACAAACAAGTCTTAGTTTGTGCAAGATTGTTAGTGTGTGACTGCTGTGTGGACAGGCATGGCTCTCGCTCAGTCGCCTACACCACTGCTGACTTATCGTCACTCGCTGTTGCGCAGGACACTGCGGAGAGCATCTGCAAACGTGTGCACATGGGACTTCTCAGGGACCCGCCTGCCGCGGGGCCAGACCCTCCCGTCCCCGTCCACTCACGCCGCCAACAGCCCGTTCATGCTACAGTGGCCATGCTGAGTAGCTGCAGCGGAGACTACGTGGCCCATAAAGCTAAGATATTTACTCTGCGGCCTTTGACACAAAAAGTTGGCTGGCCACTGCTCTGCCATCATGTGTCAGTGTCGCTTGTACTCGAACTTTGTTTAAGTGGCATTATATGGTGTGTGCTCTCTGTCCCTGGTCCCTCTCGGTCCACATTATGTGTATGAGACGCGTCTACACTGGTTTGTGTCCCTGTGTCCAACGAGGATTTCACTCTCACATAAATTGACTGTTGGAGACAGACAGCCCCTGATCTTAAAGACAGAAACCAATAAACAGAAAAGTGAAATTCAGAACAGCCAGAGACAACTCAGGGAGCAAAAGAAAACTTCATGTTACTTTATCCATCAAGTAAAAACAATATGATATTTAAAAATAACATTCAGGTTGGGCTCACGCCTGTAATTCCAACACTTTGGGAGGCTGGGGTGGAAGGGTCAATTGAGGCCAGGAGTTCAAGACCAGCCTGGGCAACATGGTAAGACCCCATCTCTACAAAAAATAAGAAAAATTAGCCGAGCATGGTGGCACATGCCTATAGTCCCAGCTACTTGGGAAGCTGAGGCAGGAGGATCGCTTGAGCCCAGGAGTTTGAGGTTGGAGTGAGCTGTGATGATGCCACTACACTCCAGCCTAGGCAACAGAGAACTTGTCTCAAAAAAAAAAAAAAAAAAAGAAAAAGAAAAAGAAAAAAGAACAGAGGGAAAAAAAAGCTCTTGAAATAAAAAAAATGACAGAAATTAAAAATTCAGTGCAAGGTTTCCAAAATGAAGTTGAGAAAAATCTCCTAGAAAGTACAACAAAAAGATAAAGGTAGTGTAGAATAAAGACAATTCTAGATTTATAAGGTTTCAAAAAAAATATACCTCCCTTGCACTCTATCTCAGGAAGCCAACAGCTCCAGCAAAACGAGCAAGTAGACCGAGAGAGAGGAAACACGAGCCCTGCACAGGAGAGGGCAGAAACCCCACAGAAGTCAGTGGGAAAGCCCAGGATGGCAGCTGGACAACAGGCCTGGACAAGACGACGGGGGCTCCTGGGTGGAGGCTTTTCCCAGACAAAAGGACCACTCACGGAGCACTTGGGTCAGGGCATAAATTTGCGATGAGTGCATAGAAAAAAACCTAAGCAACCAAAAAAATGACAACTGTTAATTACAGGGAGAATAAAACGTTGGCAAAAAAAGAAACTTAACCCTAGTACACCACATGGCTCAGCTGTGAAGGCTATTTGTAAAGTGAAAATAACACCGCTGTGAATGCAAACGTGACTTTTGGGGGTGGAGGCACGCTGGCACTCGAGAGAGCCATGTCTCCACTCCCTACAGCAGAAAGTCGATTACGAGCAGCAAGTTAAGCAGGGTGCTCAGGAGGAAACTAAGAGTTGGAAGTGGCTTTGGAGGGGGGAGGACAGATATATAAAACATCAGGAATGATTTTAGAATTTGTTCATGTTATTTGATAAGAGTTTACGTTTCGTTAAGATGACAAACACAAACGTTTGATGAGGCAAAAATTATGTCACTCCAAATGACCAATTAATCACAATATACAATAATTTCTCTCCAAGATCATGTCCCATTTTCTACTCCCTCGACACCCAAGGAAGATGGGCTCCTGCCCCCAGGGAGAAGGGCTGACACGGACACAGGAAGCGAGGGATGCAGCTCTCGAGGGAGCCCTGGCCCTGGTCGCAGCACACAACTGTCCTTTCCTGGCCATACACATCGCAGTGCTGTAACAATCAGGCTCAACCCAGAAACCACAAGGAGATCAGAATCAGAAAGAATAGGAACACCAGACCAAGAGAGATTTAAAAAGAAAAACAAACAAACAAAAGCAATAAGGAACAACCAAGAAGGGCCCCTCCCCAGTTCGCACTGAAGCAAACCAGCCGTCGTGGGAGGGGTGCAGGTGCCACACATCTAAGTGGTTTAAGTCCACGGAGGCCGAAGGTCTTCCAGACCTTTCCTGGCTTTTCTCAGGCCCACCAGCACGCCTTACACGTTAAGCAGTCCCCGAGAAGCCAGCCAGAGCTCTAAAGACACAAACCCACCAGAGGCCCAACCAGGAGCAGAGATGACATGGTGGCCTGGACCCTAGGCGCCCCCCGACCCATGCCAGTGGCCCCCTTAAAGCTGAATGTCAGCCTTTTGAAGGCAGGTCAGCCTTGCTCAGAGGAGGTGGGTGTCCTCTTCTCCGCCAGGCAGGTGGCCTCCCCAGCCTGCATCAAGCGTCCTATGAAGACATACCTAGTCTCGGGGACCCAGTGAGACACCGAGGTCCCATCTGTGCCTCCACCTCAGGTCCCTATACAGCCCAAAACATGTCTGTGCTCATCTGACGGGGAGCAGAGTGAGCACACCGGGCACCCCAGCACCTCCGTGTGGAGCTTGCTGCCTCCTCTCCATGTGTAAGAACTTAGGTTTGGGTCAGAGGAGTCTCCAGGCTCTACCAGGAGACTTCACACAAAGCCCCAGACTCTTGGCCCCGCCCGAATGCACTCTAGCCAAGATCCATCCTCGCAAAGTCTAGAGAAACCGATGTAAAATTTGCCTCAATATATAGCTAAAAATGAAAAGGTATCACTTCAAAGAGTAAGATTCAAATCAAATGCCCCTTTTGAGTTAACACAAGTATACGCTTTTCGCAAAATTCAGCTAATGTACACTTAAGATTTGTTTCACTGTATGTAGGTTTTACTCAAAAGAAAAAGGAGATTCAGCAAATATTAAATTCTAGTTAACAGGGAGGGAACGGGACATGCTTAGCTGAGACCTGAAGCAGCTGGTGACAGGCACAGGGACTGACTCTACTCTTCTGTCTGCTTCTGTGTATGTTTGAAATGCTCCACAATAAAAAGTTAAAAAATCATGAGATAACATGAGATGTCGTTTTTCAGTCCATCAGATTAGCCAAGATGCGGTGCTGGGCAGCACACTGAGCTGCTGGTACAGACTCTGCCTGGTGCGTGGGTTGGCAGTTACCTTTCGCAATGGCAAATGTGCGTCCCCTGGGACCCAGCAAGTCTGTTCTAAGGATTTTCCCTACAGACCGGTCTTCCAATATCCAGAATGATGCACACACAAGACCCTTCACTGCAACAAGGAACAGCGAACACGGGGGACCACGAGAGGCCCTGCGTGAACCTAGTGGTGGTAGGTCCCTCCTGGGGAGGAGTCCTGGGGCCTGAGGAGAGGAGAAAACGGTCGCTCTGCAATTCTGGGGGCCTTTTGAACATTGTACCACATACCTGTATCACCCAGTCCAAACCCTTAACCAAATGCCCGGCTGTCATTAAACACGTTGTCATAGTTTCCCCCGACACCCCCTTACCTACCGTGGGAGGCAGGAAGCTCCTCCATGTCCCGGAAAACCCTCCCACCCCGTGTCACTGTGGAGAACTGGCCTTTACCGACAAGGGACCTCCTGTCCAGGAGAGGTGGGAAAACCAAGGCCTCAAGGCTGATGATGACAGGTGCCCGGAATGGCGGGTACTCACCGTGATGACGTCCAGGACGCTGAGCAGGCTGTGGACGCTGTCTCCCGCCAGAACCTCTTTCACCACCACCTCGGTGCCATCCTGCGCTTGGAGAACACAGCAAGCCCTGTCAGTCCAGGGGCGTCCGTGGGCCCAGGGCGGCGAGGCCAGCAAGCCTCCGCCTGCACGTCGCCCCTGATGAGGTGGGCACGGCAGACGAGGAGGCAGAGGACGGGCTGGACTTGCCAGCACCAGAGGAGAGAGAAAAATGAGGACAACTGACGAAACCCAACCTGACCTGGCCACAGCCTCTCAACACCATGACTGGTCCTCACTGGGTGGATTTAGGTGAAATTCCACAAAACCTGAGTTTGCTGAGGACCAAATTCAGTTTTTATCAGTATAAATTATAGAAGTTTAATATGATTTTCTATTTAAAAAAGGGGGGAAAAACATGCAATTTTGCTGACTTAATACTTCATCTCAGCTTGACCCTGGAAATCCAATCTGGCAACAGTCACCCTCCCTCCACGGCTCCCCCATGGCCAGAAATATGCCGGGTCCCGTCCTCTCAGGAGCCCCTCACGAGTGGGGACAGAGTCTCTGGGCACCAGCTGGAGGGCCACATGCCCCAGGAGCTACTGGCTCCGACTTCCCTAGACTGGGCAAAACAAAGGCCCTTTCCTTTCTAACAAGCCCACCAAGTCCAGCCATAGACTAAGCTACAAACCCAAGAATCAAATATTCTGCCCAGACAACACCTTTGTTCTAGAAACCCAAAAGGACAGTGCGAGAACTGTCTTGGAATCACTACCCACCCCCAGGAGCCCTTAAGGTCAGGAGACCCCCATACGAAGTCCAGGATTCACTACGTATCTGCTCCAAACAATAACAAGTAGTGGGAAGTCTGCGTCACCAGCTACCAGGACGGATAACCCGATGCCACCTCCCTGACAGGAAACCTCACCAGGATCTGACCCAGCTGCCATCCCCAGCAACCACGATTCAAAGGGTGGAATCTAACAGGGGCAGGAAACAAATATTTAGCTCCTAGGTGAACGAGTATCTAAATTATTTTCTTACAACTAAAATTCATAATCAGAAACTTGAAAATACTGCAAGGGTTCAATTGATCATGGCAGGTCAATACAATAATTTACTACCAAGCCATTAATGGGAGTATTCTGAGAGCTCGGAAAAAACATTTTTTTCCCTAAGAGATGGGGTTTCACTCTGTCTCCCAGGCTGGAGTGCAGTGGAACGATCATAGCTCACTGCAGCCTTGAACTCCTGGGCTGAAAGGATCCTTGGAAGAAACAGTTTAACATGTTTAAAACATATCAGGTGAAGCCAGGCACAGGGGCTCACGCCTGTAGTCCCAGCACTCTGGGAGGCGGAGGTGGGAGGATCGCTTCGGGTCAGTTGTTCGAGATCAGCCTGAGCAAGAGCGAGACCCCGTCTCCACTAAAAACACAAAAATTAGCCGGGCGTGGTGGAGCGCACCTGTAGTCCCAGCTCTGCGGGAGGCTGAGGCAGGAGGATCACTTGAGCCCACGAGTCTGAGGCTGCACTGAGCTATGCTGACACCACTGCACTCTACCTGGGTGACAGAGCAAGACTCTGTCTCAAAAAATATGAACAAACAAATAAAAATAAATAAATAAAATGTCAGGTGAAACGCTGAAATAAAACCACATGATGCCACCATTAAACCCGTGTAAACATCAGACACACGTGTGCTCAAGGGTGAAGATAACATGCCAGAAGTAAAACAGCAGTTGTGTATGACTGTCAGGATGAAGGTGTGCTTTTTTCCCCAAAGAACTAAAAATAAAAATTTTGCATTAAATTTTCAGTGGAAAATTTTTAAAACTTTAAGACAACAGATCCCAGGCATCACAGCCCCGTCACTCACAGCATCCTGTATGCAGACCTCCAGCCGCCCATCCTGCACCACATAGATGCTGGTGTCCAGCTCCCCTGGCCGGAAGACGTGCTCCCCTTCCTGCAGCTGCACAAAGACCATGTGTTTGCAAAGCTCCAGGAACAGTGGCTTCTCGAAGTGGCCCAGGACCCTGCAAGAACCAGAGTGCACTGTGGGACACGTTTCCCAGACGGCAGGAGAAGATGGACAGCCTTTGAAACAGTCTCAAGAGGGCACAGGCCACTGTCCCTGCCAGCACCGGGTCCAGTGACGCAGATCTGCGCAGCTGACCAACAAACCACCAGGAATCACTCTCAAACAGAACTGTAAATTCTGAAATTCCCATGAGCCTGTTTTCCCATCAGCTCAAAGAACTTGAGCTGTGGCTGTGAACCGGAACCGGATGCGTAAAGGACGGAAGGCAGAGGCGCCCTGGGAGGGTGGTCAGGCGCTGGAGAGAGGAAGGGGTGTTGTCCTGGGGACAAATGGCAAGACAGGAGACATGGAAAAGAACCCAGGCTTGCGGTGTTTGATCCATCCACACACTCGTTCTTGCTCTGGGCATATCACTGAGAAATAGTTACACAGAACAAGGAAGAACCGGGGAGGGTCATGTGGATCAGGAGACGCCCCTGAAGCACCATCCCGCCCACCTAGCACGAGGCACAGAGGCCAGCAGTCCCAAGGCAGAAGGCAGGCAGGCTTTGCCAGCCATCACCTGACAGGGCAGCCAAGCTGAAGAGGGCCCCAGTGAGAAGGTGTCGAGACACCTGTGTCAACTGCAGCCCCTGGGAGGACCCGGAGCCACGGCAACAGGCCCGTGCTTGTTCTCTTACCGAACGTTTTTCAGCATGTACAAAACCTCTGACGGCAGGTGAGAATTCTTCACATCAAACTCCGTGAGATCAGCCTCCAGAAGGGAGGGTGGGGGCTCCTTCGGCTGCAGAGTGGGGCATTCCTTCTTGAAACGCAGAATCCTACGACAGACACGCTCACCTTGAGTGGAGACCTCTCGGGCAGTGCTGACACAGGGCAGCTCCGTCACCACAGTGTCCCCCAGGTTGGGCAGTTGGGGCGATACGGTCTGAAGGACACTCCCAGTACCTCTTGGCCAAAGACAGCACCTTGGTCCTCTTCCTGGTCCGCTGCCGGGACTGGGCTGTGTTCCCCACGAGCGTGTGGGGGAGCGTGGTCACCTGCAGAGCCGAGGGAAATGCCCAGGTGCTGCACTCTCAGCCTCAGGGGTCAGTCCTCAGGACCTGCCCGTGGGCCACTGGCAATCCTGACGTCAGCTCCTGGGTCTGGCTGCGCCACCCCCACCCAGCCTGGCTCTGCGTCACTGCTGACGGCGGCACATCACACAGCCCCGCACGCCCTCAAGATCGTCCTCGCTGGCCCCAGCCAGCTTTCAGAGCTCCACAGCTTCCTGCCTGCTGTGCCCTCCACCCGGAAGGCTGGCTGCTGCTCCCACCCCTTCTTCCACCCTGGTCACCAGAACCCCTTCCTCCAGCCCTTTAGAAACCTGCAGGTGCTCAACTGAACCTTCCCAATCTCCCCTCCCCCTGCAGCCCAGACCGCTGTCCAGTCTGTCCTGCAACTGGAACGTTCTTCACCCCTTCTTCACAGACAGAGCCCACTCAGCTGCCCAGAACAGCAGTGGTCTCAGCGCAGAGACTCGCCACTGTGGCCACCACCATGGCTCTTGCTCCGGCTCCTCAGTTTCCCTGTCTTCCCATCTCACCTCATTTGCCACCGCACAACCCTTTGTGGGACCGCCACGACTCTGCTCCAGGTCACCCCCACATGGCATGACCTCAGCACAGGCCGTGGCAGATGTCACCCCCAGCCTGGCTGTCTGAGCCTGGCCCAGCCCCAGCCCCCGACTTGTCTCCCGTCACGGCACGTGGCACTGATGACAACAGAGGACCCACGATAAACACCTGTATTATATCCCCGCTTGTCTCATTTTTTCGGGTTTTCTACAAAGAACACCAATTGTTACGCCATTTTTAAACGTATCAGTCTGTGATTTCTGAACCACTCCTGAGAGGTCTGCTGAACACGTCCTGGGCCCTCAGGAGCACAGGAGGGGCCGGGGGTGACCCGCAACAGCAGGTGGCTGAAGAGCAGGAAGGGGCAAACAGCTGCTGCTTATGCCCCAGATCAGGGCTGGTTAAATGCGGATTCCTGAGCCCTGACCCAGGGAACTGTGTTTACGAGGTTTCAGAACCACCAGACACTGAAAAACGAGCTTTCACCTAGGACAGGCACACAGGTCACGAGGGAACTTAGCCCCCCACACCCCAAAGCGCTAGATTCCTTCCTCAGCCCAGACCCCACATTCTGGCAGAGACCACCAATCTCAGCACCAGAGCCAGGACCCTCCACACCCACTGTCCCCAGGGATGTTCCTGAAAAGCTCCTTTCTATCTTCTTCTTGTTAGAACAGACGTCCACTTAGAGGGCCGACGGGGCCTCCTGTCTTTCCGCACGTGCCACAGCAGTCTGAGGTGCTTCAAACCAGACGCCCACCTTCCCTCCCCGACAGCCACTGCCCGCCACAGCCCTTCCGAGCTGCCCCCCAGGCCAGGTGGACTCCAGGCCTGCAAGGGCAAGGGCATTTCTGGGTAAAGGGTGTGGGGCACGGCTGGGGGAAGCAGACACCATTCAGCATGATTTACAACGCCCCCCAAACCCTGTGCCTAGCAGCAGCGGCTGCGGAGTCGGAGAAAGGGCAGCACGCGCCCAGAGCTGGGGCCGCAGAAGGACCCCATCCTGCAGAGGCCTGCTCAGGAGGGAGCCTGCAGCACGCACCTTCCTCATGATCTTCCGCCCGTAAAACAGCACCTTGTCTCTCTTCCGGAACCTGTACTGAGGAGAGGGCTGTGCTTGTCCTGCAAAGGGAGTGAAGGGGCAGCCTGAGTCACAGCCAAGACGCCGTGGGCAGATGGGTCTGCAAAGGCAGCCCTGAGGCGGTGCATGTGGTGAACGTCGCTGAGCCAAAGCAAAGCTGCAGGGCTGGCCCGGCCCTGGAGAAGCAGGTGCCGGACAGTGAACCGTGTTCCTGTCCTGTCCTTGCCACCACTCAGCATGGGGGCAAGGGGCTGGGCCACAGCCTCAGCTCAGACAAAGGCGAATCTCATCTCTGCTCACCAAGCCTTGCTGGGAAGGCAGAGCAGAAAAGCCTCTGCACAGACGCGGCCCCTGAGCCAATGTGTTCAGTCTGAGCCCAGACAGGCCAACAGGTTCCAGCAAAAGCCACCACGGGCTTCAGGGCTACTCGCAGAAGCTCAAAGCACATCCCAAGACACCCATACCATCCCCTCCCCCAGGGCCAAAGACAGAACCAAGATACTTACGAAATCGGTTAACCCTTCTGTACACAAAAAAGACAGTAACGCCAACGAAGGCCAATGCCAGGAGGGCTCCAATGGCAATCCCCATCAGCTGGGCCAGACCAGAGACAGAGCACTGTCAGCAAGGCCGCCAAAAAGCCCCCGCCCCTCCCCAACCACAGGATGGGCAGCAATATGCGAGGTCCTGCCCTCGGGAAGCATGTGAGGTGGTTACCATGGTGGACTGTGAAGGTTCCTCCATGAACTGCAGCCCCCAGGAGTGCAGCACGGTGCCCAGACAGAAGCCAGCCTATGGCAGAGAGCGCAATGGTCAGGATGGGCAAGGAGCGGGTGGCTTGGCTTCCCAGCCCAGGCTGGGTCAAAGCAGTAAGAGCAGAGTTGGGAGTTAGGAAGTCAGCCCGCAGATTTCCAGAAAGAAGAGATCTCTCCAGGGGGTGCTGAGGTCCTCTTAGCCCACCTGCTAGGAAGCACTCAGAGAGCAACCTGTCTTCCTGAGGCCAGCATCTGTGTTGTCATGACAAAAGCCCTGCATATCACTGACATACCTGACCCTTGGGCTTTCCAGCTCCTTGGGATACAAGACCAGGTGAGCAGGCCCCAGCCACAGGGGAGCCCACAGCCATCTCTCAGTGCTCTTTGAACACCCACAGGGCCACGTGCCACTGGCCTCAGGGCACACAGGAGCCCACATGGCAGCAGTGCTCAGAAACCCAAGGACTTTGAGAGTCCATCTGGACTTTGAGAAGATTCAGCACCAGTTCACACGTCAAATAAAAAATAGTAGAAAAGGCTATATGCGCCTGCCATCCTACTGTCTCCTGCGGAGGCATCAGCAGACCTCGGAAGTCCAGATCCGTGGGCAGGAGGAAGGAAAGGAAGGGTGAGGGCAGGGTGGTGAGTGGGTGACAGCAGAGGATGCTGCTGACTTCAGTGGAAGAGAAACTAGTGGAAGACCCAGCCAGATAGCAGCCGTCCTCCCCCCGCCCGGTACCCACACCTTCCTGCCAAGCAGCCTGCTAACCCTTTCAAGTTTCTACACAAGTGCCAAAGACAAAAGCAGCTCCCTGGCCTTCAGAGCACCAGGGCTCAGACAAGGCAATCCATGCAGAAAACCCAAGGAAATCTGAAGGGCACTCAAACACATCTCAAAAACACAATTCTGCATCACGGCAGAATAAGTAAGTAGTTCAGAGAAGTCAACCCTTTCAACTTGGTTCAAGAGGCAAATAAAAGCACTGGAGATCAGCCTGAGCAACATAGTGAGACCCCATCTCTACGAAGAAAAAAAAAAATAGAAAAATTAGCCAGGTATAGTGGTGGGCCTGTAGTCCCAGCTACTTGGGAGGCTGAGGCAGGAGGATCACTTGAGCCCAGGAGTTGGAGGCTGCAGTGAGCTGTGGTGATGCCACTGCACTCCAGCCTGGATGACAGAGCGAGACTCTGTCTCCAGGAAAAAAAAAAAAGCAAGCACTGGGGGCTTTTTGCTTCCGACACTTCAGAACGGAGGTGCTCAGGCTGCCTTCCCACAAGGCTCCATGCTCAGCTCTCAAGAACGTGTCAGAGGGGGCACACAACAGCACCTAAGCATGTCCCTCTGAGCTCAGCAACCACTCCTCGGACAGTCGGGGACCCAGGGGACGGCCCACAGCCTATATACAGTCTCCAGCGGTTGAGTGTCTCAGCCTTGTCAGCTTCCCATTGTTGTTTTAACGGACCTAATTCTCCGGTTTAGAAATAAAGGCCTCTGTGATTTGGCCACAGATTTTTGACTGAGAGAAAGACCCTATACAAAACCAGCAATGTCCTAAGGCCAGACGGAAACCTTAAGAGAACAGACAGGACGTGGCCAGCAGCTGCACGGCTGTCCACGCTGGGAAAGCTCAGTTGTCTAACAAGTGTTAGCAGCGTGACAAGGACTCAGACAAGAGCCGCACTGCCACATTCCTCAGGCGTCAAGAAGCCCCCAGGACCAAGAGGGAGGCAGAAGAGATGCCAAGAGGACCCTTTTCTTGGTCCAGAAATGTCCCTGACTGGGAAATCCAAGGGTCTGACTCCTCACTGGACCCTGGCTTACATACCTCCAGGAAGACATTGTTCTCCTCCTCCATGGCTAAAAACAGAACAGTCACGGGTGAAAGGAGACACACTGAGGCCAACAAGGGCACACGGCCACCAGCTCATGAGCACATCAGGACATCCGTGGTTTCAAACTTTTCCCCTAGGTTCCTTTCCAAGTCAAATTATGCTTTTGTTGAGAGGAAAACTCTGCTGAAAA